CGGCCAGACCAATCGTGTGGTCCGTGTCTTCTGGACCTGAGAATCTGACTGTACACTGTCTCACGTTTCCACCCACTGCTATTCAGGGCACATAATAGCGGCCAAATCGAGTGTAAGAAGAGATACCCGGAACCGAAAACTTGCGGACATGCGGGGACTGCTAGGACAAGAATCTCATGCCATTGGAATTGGTGTACATAACAAGGAAGTGTGACATCCATCCGCATACCATACAACCATGACGCTATTCCATCGCTACGGAGGACAACGCGACACGCACAATCGAAGTATACTAAAAAAAACTGGGAATATGCGAAATGTGGTACTCGTCTCTGACATCTTCCATGCCCCTGTCGGCCTTCTTAGTACGGAAAGGGTAACGGACCTACCGTGAATGTGTGATCGATCTATTATCCAACCGAGACCGATGCATCTGTGAAGATCGGCTTCGACAACTTTCGGTGCCTCTGAGGCGAGGTCGTTTCACGGTCGTGTCCTTGGGAACTTAATTGAGATACGGATCTACCTTCGCGAGCTCGAAACGAAATGGCTTCATGGGATTACCCTCGGGAATTACATTACTCGACATGCCTCTCGTCTCTACAGCCCTCCCAGCCTGGCAGATGAACAGTTGACGGCCTTGTCACCTACTTGCGCGAATGTTTCGCCTCTTTGTTTCTATAACGATCGTGAGCATTGTCGCGTGAACTGTTTATCTTACTTCAAAATCGCGATGATGATACAGACACCTCCAACATTTGCATACTGCCAATTTCGAGGCCGACCCTCTTCCCCACCCTCTCGCCTCTCCCGTTATGCTTTCTGCATAACTTTGTAACAACAGAGCAAAATTTGTCTGCGGTGCACGCCAAACACAAACGTCTGCGCGTGATCATGTTTGTCGTATTTCGAGAGCGTGACGACGATATAGCTGCTGCGCCTTTTGCACTCCGCCAATTTCGTGGCCGCCCTCCCCCCCCTCTTCCCGCCCCTTCCGCTGTGCTTCTGTACGTATTTGTGATTATCAGGCAAAACTCCCATGCTGCATACACTAAACACCACCGTTTTCGCGTGACCCTTTCTGGCAATACTTCAAAACCGCGGAAGATGTTAGGGGACACGATTGCGTTACCATCGCAAGCACGTGGCTGTGAGCAACTTACCAGCGAAGATGTTAGGGGACACGATTGCGTTACCATCGCAAGCTTGTGGCTGAGCGCAACTTACCAGCGAAGATGTTAGGAGACACGATTCCGTTATCATCGCAAGCTTGTGGCTGTGAGCAACTTAACAGCGAAGATGTTAGGGGACAAGATTGCATTACCAAGCAACTTGCCAGCGAAGATGTAAGGGGACACGATTGCGTTACCATCGCAAGCTTGTGGCTGTGAGCAACTTACCAGCGAAGATGTTAGGGGACACGATTGCGTTAACATCGCAAGGTTGTGGCTGTGAGCAACTTACCAGCGAAGATGTTAGGAGACACGATTCCGTTATCATCGCAAGCTTGTGGCTGTGAGCAACTTACCAGCGAAGATGTTAGGGGACACGATTGCGTTGCCATCGCAAGCTTGTGGCTGTGAGCAACTTACCAGCGAAGATGTTAGGGGACACGATTGCGTTACCATCGCAAGCCTGTGGCTGTGAGCATCTTACCAGCGAAGATGCTAGGGGACACGATTGGGTTACCATCGCAAGCTTGTGGCTGTGAGCAACTTACCAGCGAAGATGTTAGGGGACACGATTGCGTTACCATGCAAGCTTGTGGCTGTGAGCAACTTACCAGCGAAGATGTTAGGGGACACGATTGCCTAACCATCGCAAGCTTGTGCATGTGCCGAGCATGCATGAGCTTAATAGCATGCATGAGCCGGAGTCCCAATAGAGCTAGAGATATCAGGTTTGTTGTTGGCATCCCTGTGCTCCTACTCACAGCGTGGTTCATGAAGCATTAACGGGACCATCATTTCTATTGTTTACGCAGAGCTAAACAACTTCATCAATCTGTGTTTACATATGCATCCACATGATCATTTCACAACACTTCCTTTGCAGCACATGAGAAAGTGATGGTCCCGTAATCGCCTCATGAGCATCACAAGCTCAAGCAAATGGCTTACGACCAGACAAAATCTTCGCCGCCCACTTGTCCCACTGCATGTTGAAGTGATGGTCCCGTATCCGCTACTTCAAGGCCAGTCAGGTCAATAGCCTGACCGGTGACTTCATCAATATCCCATCTCGCTCCTTGTCCGGAATCAGCCTGTCCACGGTAGACAAACCACAAAATTGGTGCGATCCGATTACCGTGGATGGGCTGATTATAACAAAGTTATAGCTACTGATGACATCGCTGCAGTCGAGAAACCTTAAAATTGATGTGGTCTAAGAATTGGTTTGGTATGGTTTGTTTTGAAGTTTTCAAATCTGGCCAAATCCAAAATGCACATCGGTGACGTCTATGTGCGTTTTGCTCTTGCCCGCAGAGAAACAAGCTCAAGACCGAAAATCTCCTTTTTCTATCCAGATAAACCCCGGGCCTCATGTGAAAAGTGCCTCGCTGTCAGGAAAAAAATGCCATAGTTTCATAAACCAGAGTTTAGGAAACTAAACCCTAAAAGACGGAGCTGGCTACGGGTGGGCGCCGCTCGCACGGCGCGGGTGGGAGAAGAAACTGGAGTGGCCGACACGAGGCCCCAGTAGCCACGGCACTCCTGCGTGTTCCGTAGCCGACATGCCTCGTAACATTATGACATACCCGAACGGTCCAAAGCTCTTTGCTGCCTCACGCAAACCCTAAACCCTAAAACCCTAAAGAACCCTAAAACCCTAAAGAACCCTAAAACCCTAAAGCCCTAAACCCTAAAACCCTAAACCCTAAAACCCTAAAGAACCCTAAAACCCTAAACAACCCTAAAACCCTAAAACCCTAAACCCTAAACCCTAAACCCTAAAACCCGAAACCCTAAAACCCTAAACCCTAAACCCTGAACCCTAAAACTGCCGAGAGCGCCGCTGACCATTTGCATGGGCGCTCGAGGCTCTGACCGAGGTCCCCGACCGAGCGTCCCGTCAGAACGGTGAGGGAGGGGACTGTAGTGACTTTGACCCCAAACCACAACCGTTCGCCGCCCTGGCCCCTGCCTGGCCCCTTGCCCTACCCTGCCCTACCCTGCCCCGCTTGTTGTGCCGCCTGGCCTGCCCTCCTGCCCTTCTCCTGCCTTCGAGCAGCGCTTGCAGGGCGCGAGGACCCACAACCCGACACTAATCCATCTCAGTTGTGGTTTGCTGTGAAATGTGGTGGTTTTCTCGAACTGCGAAAGGAAGCTTCGAGCAGCCCTTGCAGGGCGCGAGAACCAAGTTGTCTGTTGGAAACCTTTGCTTTTTGTCGAGCGGCCGGCACAGGCCGCGAGGACCCACAACCCGACACTAATCCATTTCATTGGTGGTTTGCTGTTAAATGTGGTCGTTTATGTATCGAACTGCGAAAGGAAGTAGAGAGCAAGAAAGCCCCCCTTGAGGGGGGTTTGGGGGTGAACCCTAAACCCTAATTGAGAATAGTTGGGGTGGTTGGGGCGGGACTACATGCTGACGCAAGCGCGCGATAAGTGGGTGCGCCCCTATTCCTAAAGTAAAAGGCGCACCCACCGCGCGCAGACTGTTACACACCCTAAACCCTAAACCCTAAAACCCTAAACCCTAAAACCCTAAACCTTAAACCCCTAAAGCCCTAAACCCTAAACCCCTATACCCTAAACCCTAAGCCCTGAACCCTAAACCCTAAAACCCCTAAGCCCTAAACCCTAAAACCCTAAAACCCTAAACCCTAAAACCCTAAAGAACCCTAAAACCCTAAAGAACCCTGAAACCCTAAACCCTAAACCCTAAAACCCTAAAACCCTAAACCCTAAAACCCTAAAGAACCCTAAAACCCTAAAGAACCCCAAAACCCTAACACCCTAAACCCTAAAACCCTAAACCCTAAAACCCTAAACCCTAAACCCTAAAACCCGAAACCCTAAAACCCTAAAACCCTAAACCCTAAAACCCCAAAGCCCTAAACCCTAAAACCCGAAACCCTAAAACCCTAAAACCCTAAACCCTAAAACCCTAAAGCCTAAACCCTAAAACCCGAAACCCTAAAACCCTAAAACCCTAAACCCTAAACCTCTTTATCACATAGTAATTTAAACCTTAATGGTTTTCGTGGGATAAGGCCCAAACTTCCGGACCAACCTTAATGGATTTCGTGGGATAAGGCCCAAGTCTTGACCAACCTTAATGGATTTCGTGGGATAAGGCACAATTTCAGACCAACCTTAATGGAATTCGTGGGATAAGGCCCAAGTCCGGAGTTTGGGCCTTATCCCACGAATTCCATTAAGGTTGGTCAAGACTTGGGCCTTATCCCACGAAAGTTTGGGCCTTATCCCACGAAAACCATTAATTAAGGTTTGTCAAGACTTGGGCCTTATCCCACGAAATCCATTAAGGTTGGTCTGGAATTGGGCCTTATCCCACGAAATCCATTAAGGTTGGTCCGGAGTTCGGGCCTTATCCCACGAATTCCATTAAGGTTGGTCTGAAATTGGCCCTATCCCACAAATTCCATTAAGGTTGGTCTGGAATTGGGCCTTATCCCACGAATTCCATTAAGGTTGGTCCGGAAGTTTGGGCCTTATCCCACGAATGGGTTTAAGTGTTCAGAGTTTAAGGGTTTAGGGTTTAAGGGTTCAGGGTTTAAGGTTTCAAGCTGTGAAAGAAGTGAAACTTTGTATTTCCCTGATGTTATGGGATTCTGAGGGTGGGTGGGTGTTATTTCTAAACCGTAAACACAACTCTACTTTAAAACTGCTCGATCCGGAGCTGCTGAACCCTAATCCCTAAACCCTAAACCCTAAACCCTAAAACCCTAAACCTTCAACCCTATACCCTAAACCCTAAAACTTTAAAACCCTAAACCCTAAACCCTAAGCCCTAAAGCCCACGAGCCGAGGTTCAGGAGACGCAGAGCCTTCTCGGCCTCGCCTCCCCGGTCCAAGGCGCGGAGGACGGCGTTGCAGCCTTGCTCGGGTTCCGCAGGGGTTTACATATCCTCTTTAGGGCTTATGTAGGGGGTTTGGGGTTTAATTAGGGGTTCATATCCTCTCTAAGGTTTATTTAGGGGCTTGGGGTTTAGGGGTTTATATCCCTTTTAGGATTTATTTAGGGGTTTGGGGTTTAGGGGTTTACATATCCTCTTTAGGGTTTATTTAGGGGTTTGGGGTTTTAGGGGTTTGTATCCTCTTTAGGGTTTAGGGGTCTGGGGAATAGGGGTTTAGGGTGTTTAGGGGTTCGGGCTCAGGGGGTTTAGGGCTTCAGGGTGTTAAGGTTCGGGTTTAGGGGTTTAGGGTTTCAGGGTTTTGGGTCTAGCATGGTTCAGGGCTTTGGGATTCTTGGCATCCCTGTTCGGGTTCTATGAGGGTTTGGGGTTTGCGGGAATTTTCTGGCTGTTCTGGTCCTGAAAGGGCTCGGAATTTTGACAAGTCAGAGCCTTACGGCTTGGAAAAGAACGAGGGCTTTTGGTTCAGCCCTCGGCTTTGTAGAGTCTTGGGTTTGAGGCTTTATTCTCTCGGGTCTAGGGCCAGGGTGTGAGCTCTTTCTATACTTCAACGGGTTTGAGAACTTGGAGGCTTTTTGGTTAAAGGTTTGCAGGATTCTTTGGGGTGTAGGGTTCCGAAGATTCATTACGCCGCTCCACAGCTCGACACCTCGGAGGTCTCAAAAGGTGGGATGAAGGTAGGTGGGATATTCCCAAATAAGAGTCCTTATGTAAGGGATCCTTATCCCACCTTTTGAGGCTTCCGAACACCAGGCACCCAAAAGTCCGAAAGCCGAAGCACTCGGCCCTCGACTGCCCAACGCCTTGGCCCTTAATGTAGGGGCCTTGATAATTAGAATAGGGTTTGGGGACCCATTATAGTCTAACTATACCAAGGAACCCCAAAATAATATAGGTAATTATTCAGGCCCTCATATAAACAGCCTTTGAAACTTACTCATTGCACTGAAAGTAAGATGTAGGCGGACTACGCAAGCTGCCTACCTATGAAAGAGGTCTTCAAGGATCCACAAGATGGATACCTGGAAAATGTTCCTGTCTGAACTCTACATTTTTCTCACTCCTTTCTCGGGGGCTCTTTAATATTCGGATCGTTGGCAGGGACCGAGCCACAAATCTAGCCAGAATATGTGAGAATGGAGTCTTGAGTAATTACCATACTGCAGGTCCTATTGCACATGCATTAGGACAGCTCTGAGCATGCGCAAGCACGAACTTCACTAGCTGTCGGTGTAAATAATTTACCCATCTCATGCGCTTAACGTACGGGTTCTTCTGAAACTAAACACTCCTTCGGATGCATGCCGACGCGTGGCCACGCTGCGTGGCTGGGGTGAGGCTGCCGCATGCTGCCTCCCACGAAAATACTTCGGGTTTACGGTTTCAGTTCCGAAAGTTGCAGCTTTACCTTGTGCCATGATGATATAAACTTTGCTACATTTTTACCGAGGATCCTGAATAAAAGCTCTAGACATTTGACTGGGCTAAGTTTCGGCCTAACGCAGAACTCGCAGTTTCACAGTTGCCTGTGGCCTGGGCCTCTGCGAAACGACTAGCCTCAACCCTCAACCATCGACTCCAACCGCAAACTCTAATTTCGTTTCTCAGGTTGCAGTTGTGGGCTTCGGGCATCAAGCCGTTTAGGTTCGCCTCCCAGTGTGCGGCAGTGCCCAAGGCCGCCATGCGCACGTGACCTTAGCTTCGGGTCTTATTCAACGATTGCTAATCCCACTATTACCACTACTGCTGCTACCACTACGACGACGACGACGACGACTGCTACGACCGCTATATATTCAGCATCGTCATTACCGTCATTTCATACCAATGTCATTCTCATATCACTACTAGTATGCCTAGCCTACGTATTCTTGCTTTTGGCCTTTCGCGTTTTGTTCCTGAGCGGGTGTAGTGTTGAGTTGGGGCGTATGAGGACGCAACTTCCGGCATGCCGGCATTCTACAGACTCTGTCGCGGCTCGCAGGCAAAATGGGCTTCAGTCGTTTAGAACTCATGCAGTCCAAGCTTCGAGCCCTACGCTACTCGTTCGGGATTTGGCAGGTTTCCTCAGAAACGTCTTCAGCACGGATGAGCGCCGACACAAATCAACGTGCCATAAGATCTACATGTCAGAAATGGAGGACGCGTCACCTTGCGTCTCGGAACAAAGAACCAAGCACGAAGGGATAATCAGACAGCAGACAGTTGACGACTAGCACAAGGGTGTTTTAACAACTCAAACATTTCGGGGCCAATCAGACTGAGGGCCGGCGTGATGCAAAAGATTTTTACTCCGAGTGTTGCGAAGGATGTGTTCAGCGGACACCGAGCCGCAGGTTGTCATCATAGATTCGTAATGAACCGTTCATGTAAATGCCGGCTTCTCTTGAGAGACTTGCCCGGTGCGGATATGAGAAGGTTTGCTTTGCAACTCATGTTACTTGAGCCGGTGAAGTCCAAAAGCTTGGCCAGGCGGCGTAGACAGTCTTCGGATGTGTTTGCTTGTCTCCACAGGCCATCCAATCTGCACTGAGACCCATGATTCCCTTCCATGTTTCGTGCATCTGCACAAGAGAATCAGCAACTTCAAACCGACTGCGAGCAATCGCAGAAAAAAACACTCGAACAATGACAAGGGTGGCAGCAGGAAAAAAAACAGTTCACTGTTCCTTCAAGGCAAACTCACTCTTCCAAAAACAGAAGCACGATTTTCATGCTGGCAAATAGGGATATCCGAAAAATGTATATATATAGAGAGAGAGAGAGAGAGAGAGAGAGAGAGAGAGAGAGAGAGAGAGAGAGAGAGAGAGAGAGAGAGAGAAAGAGAGAGATCTCAAAGGAGAAGGTTCCGTATCTTGAAATCTAGGAAATCCAGGGTGCTCGTGGTCTTATCGCAAGGGCCATGTCTCCGAGGCCCCAAACCCTACCCTAAGGGTCCAGGTACCTCTTTAGGAGGGTCCGGAGTGTCCTAGGGAGAGTCCTTGGGTCTTTTCGGGGTTTCAGAAACCCTCAATTTTGAGTTCCCCCAATTTGTTAGGACCCTTAGGGTATACTCTATAGACCCCTTGTAAGAAATCCTAAGCTTCCCTGAAACGTCCTAAGGCCCTGTGGGATCCTTATGACCCCCTTAAAAAGGCCAACGGATGCTCCCCCATGGATATTGCAAAACAAAAGCAATGCCTTCGTAATTTGGAATAGACTTCTAGAGTGTGGTATGCTAGAACTCTATGCGGGCTGTCACAGAAGTATCCCGAAGCCCTTTAATCAGTACAACTCCTTTATGCTAAACCCCCTACTACAGAAATCGTAAAGTCAGTACCCAGATTAAAACCCAAAACCCCAACGTGACATTGAAACCCTTCGCAAGGATCTTGACGTTGGGCCCTACACAACAAAGGAGGCCTTTCCACTTGTCAGAAGGCCAAGTGGCGACATGCGTCGTCGAGATCAACCTGGAGATCCCCAAAGCCTGAACGATAATAAGGACCCCTAGGTATATACCCTTAATATAGCTATTATATACCCATTATATAGCCCATGAAGGGGAGGGGTCCCCATTAAGGGTCCCTCTTTTCCCTTTTGAAACCTGGAGATTCCAAAACCCTGAAAGAAACCCTAAACGGGGGATCTTATGGAGACAGATTACGAAGTTATCCAACACCGAACACCCTTACACTCCCATAGAAGGCCCTCAGAGGAACCCCTACAGGGGACATTAGGAATTATCACGGTTACTATCCTAGTAATTATTCTGTTTATGTATATGGGCCATTTTGGTCCCGTAGTATAATACAGCACCTAGTCTTTAGGGTACCCAGAAAGAACCAGAATTTTGACGACTACCCATATATCTGCTTTGCTACTCTTCTCAATACTCAGGTCTCGCTGGCGACGGTGGAGCTCCAAGGGAGAAAGTGTTAGTTCGAAGTTCGGGCGCACGCAGGCCTTTGAGGTCGTGAAAAACCTCAATCCCCGAAACCCAGCGCTCTTATGTAACTCAGGGTGTGCGGTTTAGGGGTTGAGGGTTTAGGGTTGGAGCTTCGTCACAAATCGCAGGTGTGTCGAGGTTTCGGATCAAGGGTTCGTGTTTAAAGGTGTTGCAGCACCATTCTTGTCCTTCTTCTGGTGGATGCATGGACAGGGGGTTCGGAATGGTTGCTCACTTTGCTTAGCACCAGGACGGCCGGGATTTGAAGATCCCAGGCTCGAAAAACCTACGGGAAGGACAACGAACGATCGCGAGTGCAGGGGTAAGTTATGCAGGTCTCTTAGGATCCACACTGCAATCAGCTTCAACCCCACACATCTCCCCCCGAAATGAATCACAGTGGAACGATAGTAAAAGTCCCACAGTTTAAGGTGCATTGATTAATACAGGGGTCTTGAAGGCATTGAAAACCTTTGAGCCCAAACCTAAAGCCCTCGACTACACTACGAGCCGCATACCTCAAAACCATAATTTCCATGTGTAGGTAGTAATTCTATGTGAGGCAGTATACCTCAACTTATCGAGGGTTTCTTATTGCATGATCTGAGGAACTTGCCTTCGGTCAGGGATAATAGAGTCTTTGGATACTTGCACCGAAACTTGGACCTCAGGGCAGACGCCCGACCTGGCCTTTTCTTGCTCCATAGCGTCTGTAAGATCCAGGACGATGCTCCAGGAGCTTAGCTTCCTGGGTTTGGGCTTTTGCGGTTTCGGGCCTTAGGGTCTAGGGGGGGCAGAGGTTTTTGGGGCCGGGTCTTACGGGGTTAGGGCTTAAGGCCAGGGCGTGAAGTTAGGGCCAACATGATCGTAGTAGGAAACGCCAACGCCCGGAAATTATGAAAAGGGTACTGTATATTGTTGGGTGATCTAGTGGTCAGGATCTTGCGGGTCTTTGGGATCGCAGGGTTTTAGGGCTTCATGTTTCTGTCCGAGAAACCGAATCTTGATGCCTAACCATGAACCTTCGAAACGGAACATCTGAAATCCAACGCATGCTTCCTTAAGCTCTCGGCTCTCCAGCATGCTCTTCATGATCAAGACACCCTCCTTCACGTTATTCAGCGTTACAAACTCGACCTCATCAGAGAACATGGGGTAAGGGTACCACCGCAGAACCGATTCTGGAACCTCTTAGGAAGCTCTGCTCGAACCAAGTATATGAGCCTTTCGCATGCCTGGGTTGGGAAAACCAATTTTCACAAAAACACCGCCTTGCTTCTCAGCTAGGATTGGGGGTTTGGGCTGTAATGGTCATAGGGCTCAAATCAGGGCCCCGTGTTCAAGTTCGAGGGTTCAGGGCTTTTGCGTTGTCGATCCCCTGTGAGGCCTGTGAGGCTACCTGGCCAAGACACTCATGTGCAGACAGAAGAGCATTGTAGTGGTAGGCATTTGCCTTTGCATGTTGGAGTTTCTCTAAACCCGGCTCTATTTTCACGTCGCACATGCACGGCGTCAACTGGAGTTCTCGGAAAAGGATCATGACCGAACCATAAGCTCCAAACCCCCCCCATCGTTGAGCAACCCACCGTGCCCTGTAGCGGCTTTCGAAGTATGACTTCAAGCTACAGCTGTTTTTTTCGCTGACCTTTTGGAAGCCTTATGAGCCCGTGTACAAAGCCCTAACTCTCGGGGTTTAGGGTTTAGGATTTAGGGTTTAGGGATTTAAGGGTTATTTCTGCTGTGTTCTATAGCTTAGTAGATCGGAGCTTCAGTCGGAACCTGGCTCCATGCCGAAGGGGGCTAGAGCTTAGGGTTTTAGTGTTTAGGCGCTTGGAGCTTAGGGTAGGGGGTTGTAGGGTTTACCTTAACCCCGAATAACATACCTTTTTAGGGCTCCTTATTATAATTTCTTTATATAAGTCCTTGAAACATGTAAGTGCTTCGGGGTTAAGGTAGGGTTTTCGGGTTTAGGAATTGGGGCCCCAGTGTTTCGGCCTGATGAATACGGATGCACTGGATGACGGGGCTTGAATCTTACCTTTGCTTAGTAGCGAATGGAAGCCTTTAAAGGGATCCTTAAAGGGGTCTATAAGGGCTAGCATAAGGGATCTATAAGGGTACCTTACCTTTGGTTTGTGGGGAATGGACGAATGGTAGTAATAGTAGCTATGATCGTACCCTGTTCCTCCATTCCCTACTAACCAAAGGTAAGGAATCAGGTCTTGCAGTGTATAGGATTGATGGATAAACCACCTTCTTTCTGGGCTTCGTACATTGGGGATCCGGATTATAACCCTGATTGATTGAGGGAATGGGGGTCTACTAATCGTTGAGGTTTCAGCTTTATAGGGCTTGGGATCTGGGTGACCGGCCCCAACGCCTGGCCTAAACCCTCAAACCCCACAAGACCCAACAAGTGCAGCTTCAAGCCAAAAATCCCTAAACAACAAAACCTAAACCCCCAACCCTGAGGCCCTGAACCCCAAAGCCTAAACCCTAAACCCAAAACCCTGAACCCCGCGGCGAGCTGCTTGCAGGCGCCCAGTGCGCAAGGATGCCAGCAACTGTTCCAGGATGGAGCGGACGAGACATTTAGGGCGTTGGGGTCGTCATGATAAGTAGGGGCTCCTTTCAAGGGATCTATAAGGGTTCCTTTTAAAGGGTTCCTAGAAGGGATCTATGGGGTTTAGGTTAAGGGTTTGGGAGTTTCCGAAAATTAGGGGTACCATATTTCGGATCCTCATAATAAGGATCCGACTACTTAGGGTACTATATTGGGGGTCCCCTGTCTGCGGAAACTCCCATGTGGTGCTTCTCCTAAACCCCAACATCCCCTTTTGAAAAGGTTCAGTAAGAGCATATCGGGCTTCGTGTTCTGATAAAACACATCTCAATACTTGAATGAGTTGTGCGCCTCTGGTTAAGGCTTGCAGAGTTTAAAACGGCTTAGATATTAGTACCTTTGGGGTTTTGGGCCGTAAGGGGGCCCGAACTGATTAGATAAGAAGCAGTGTAATATATCTGCATTAACGTGCTTTTACCCATGTTGGACTGACAGACATGGGCTCCGCCAACAGTTGGGCACCTGCGCCACTTGCGCCGGGGTACCCAGCCTGGCCTCCCGACAAGATTTGCAGTGTGGAGTTTCGCTTTCACGGTTTCAAAATAGGTCAGGTTTTAGGGTTTTATAAGTTTGTATTAGTTCTGCCTTTAGGGCTGTAGGGTTGCTGGGTTGGGGGAGAATCTACGGATTCTTGCACTTCGGATTCAAGCTTCAAGGTCTGCAGGTCTTGACGTGCATGCAGCACACGACACTGGCTTCCTAGCTTGTGGCTGGCTTACAAACTTCATGGTCAAATACAATGTACCCAGATCAAGCTTCAGGCTCGGCATACCATAGTAGCATGACAGTGGCACGAACAAGCGTTAGGGAGATTGCCGACGCGGCACTTTCCACGCAAAGCAGTCATCAACTGTTGGCAAATGGGTGTGAATGGTGGTACGCCCATGCCACTGCCGAAGCAGCTGACCCACCGTCCAGGAGTGCTACTGGGATGCCCAGTAACCTAGGAATAAAAAGGGCTCTCTGTTTGGTGTTGGGTAACTTTATAAGGAACCTGGGACTATAAAAAGGGAATAGGGGTACTACTGGGCATCCTAGCCTAAATTCCACAAGGGGAACCCCGGGTTGCGGGTTAACCGTCAGGGTTTAGAGACCAGGAGCTCGGACGAATTCTTGGATCTCAGGCCTGTAACTTAAAGCGTTCTTGCACAGTTTTGAAAAATCCCGAAAACTTCACCAACAAACCCGGCACAACCCCTGAGCCGATTTAGGCCGGTTTCAGTGAGATACGCAGAGGCTGCATCCTCAAGCAGGCAGTCTCTTCACAGCTCCAGTAATTCCTCAGCTCACTTTCGGGCAGCTGAAGGAAACGGCCCTTGCGGTCTGCTTTTGGTGTAAGGGAGAGCCTGCACCAGTGGCTCACCGCCCCACCATTTCAACAGGGCCGGGCACTTCCCATTGCACTGTGTTTTGTCGCTTGGTGCCAGTAGTACTAGCCTTGCTTGTGGCGAACCGCAACCCATCCCTTCGGAAGGGCCGGTGGCGGGCGGCACTGCCGCACAGAGTGCCTTCGCCGCCTCTGGAAGCGGGGCCAGCGGGCGCCGTAGCTGCTTTTTGCCAGCCTTGAACCACAGACGGGGGTCACGGCAGTGCACGCACGCAAGGGTGCCCTGCGTCCGACGAGGGCCCTCCGTCCCGGTACCTCTGCGCAGCATTTGCTGCTTTGTCATCAGAGCGTCCAGCTCAGCTGGCAGTGCAAATGCAAGCTTGCAACGCTAAGGTCTGAAACTCATACTTACTGCACAACCTAGACCCACAAAGCTCCAAGCAGCCTAAACCTACACACCCCAGAATCCTCAACTCCCAAAGATCCAAACACCCTCACAGTCCTAAACACCCGAAATGCCACACTCTCAACACTCTACACGACCTCAGAACCTAAAGCCGAGCGCTCTGAAACATCGTACAACCCTCAACAGAACCCTTTCAAAGATCCCCATAGAAACCTTACAAGAACCCTAACAAAACACAAATGAGTCCTTATGAACCCTAAACCCCGCACCCCAAAAGCCTGCCACAGGGAACGCTACTTGTGGTGCAGCAGTACTCTTAGAGGTTCATGTCGCAAGGTCCGGGATCACCGAGATCAGTCTTAGAGTGTTTCAGAGACGCGCTGCTTGAAAACGCAAAAGGTTTGTCGATATAGGTGTTCCGGGTGTTGTTCGTGGTGGTGGTGGCGGCGGAGGTGGAGGTGGATGATCCTAAAGTAGGAACCTGTTCAGAAACACAGCTCTACACGACAACAGTAGCAGCACCTGTATGAAGAGCTCAAGTAGGTGTCCATAGTCATTCAATAACGATGTCCGGGAGACGAGCTCTCCATTCCGGTGCGGTCGGAATATCCAACCCTAAACCTTAAACTCCAGAACACAGGCGGCAACCCTCGGATTAATATAGGGGCCTGAAGAAGTAGAATAGGGTCTGGGGGTATATTTAACTAATAGTTGTCATAAGGACCCCCCCCCCCGAAAAGAAACTGTATTGGTAATATGTCTTACCATGCCCTCGTATATAATCTTGCTCAGAGAACCTTGCTTAAGAGCATCTTCGAACAAAGGTAAATGTAGAATTTGTCTGAAAGGCCTCCACCGTAAACCAAAGCAGGAATCCCGAGGCCTTTATCACACCCTTTAAATTAAATTTCCAATGCAGCCCTTACAACAACCAGATGCCACCCTTGTAAACCCATATAGAACTCGAAAAGAGCCCCAAACCCTAAATCCAAACCCGAAACCCTCGACCCTGATCCCAAATCCCCAAACCCTAAACCCGATAATTCCCAAACCCAAGTCCTTCTCCCTAAACCCAAATCCTAAACCGTGTTTGTATAGTTCCCACAATCTATACTGAACTTAGAACCCTAGCAAAAATTATCATTTTAGCTGTTTCTTAGGGATTACAATAACCAAAAAATGAAAATTATTTCTAAGTACCCCTAAGCAATAGGAAGCACCTGGGACAGCGAGCCTGTCGTGCTAACTCGCGGGTCGCTGCCCGTGGCGACCTCGGAGTTTGCACCGACATCAACGGGCCTTAAAATTTTACTGGGGTTTAGGGATTTTAGGGTTTAGGGTTTAGGGATTTAAGGGTTTAGGGTTTAGGGGGTAGGGATTTAAGGGTTTAGGGATTTAATTGTTTAGGGATTTAATGGGTTTAGGGATTTAAGGGCTTAGGGATTTAAGGGTTTACGGATTTAAGGGTTTAGGGATTTAAGGGCTTAGGGATTTAAGGGTTTAGGGATTTGAGGGTTTAGGGATTTAAGGGTTTAGGGATTTTAGGGTTTAGGGTTTAGGGCCTGCGAATTTTACTGGGGTTTAGGGATTTAAGGGTTTAGGGTAAAGGGCTAGGGGTGGTACTGGTTTTTGTTGGGGATTTGAGATGCGGTTGAGGGTTTGGCGATTTGGTAGTTTCCGAAAATAGGGGACCCTAATATAGTACCCCAAATAGCAGGATCCTTATTATAAGGACCCCAAAATACGGCACCTCTAATTTTTGGAACTCCCAGTTGGGTTTGAGGTTCAGGGTTTCAGGTCTGGGGATCTGGACCTGGGGATTGGGGCTCTTTTCGGGTTTTACTGGCTTATAAGGGTCTTACCAAGAGAGCCCAATACCCCTTAATTAAGGAATATGGCTTAACTCATAATATGAAGCCCTATACAATTTAAGCCCTATTCCTTAATTAAGGGGTATTGGGCTCTCTGGGTACTGGGCTTAAGGATTTAGACCTTAGGGGCTTTACTGGGCGTAGCGATTTCAGCCTTTAGGGTCTAGGGGTTTAGGGTTAGGACTGATGGCTTTCGGGTTTAGTATAGGGCTTTGCAGGAGTTAAGGGGTTTAGCATGCAACGGCTTAATGTTGGGAGGTTCAGAGTTGTCGTTGCTTCTTTTTGCGTTTTTTTTGTGTGTGTTTTTATGTGTATCGATGACTGAGGCTGTTTCTGTGTCCATGTCTTTTTTTCTTTCGTCCTCTCTTGTTCTCGCTCGCTCTCTCTCTCTCTCTCTCTCTCTGAATCACTTTTGGTATACCCTCCTCGAAGACATGCAGGTCCCCAGAAGCCCTATCAACTGGCAACGACCCCCAGACTTGTCAAGCTACAGCCCTGAGTGGTTGTGCAAACCTTACGCATGTATGTACCTTGTGCCACTCATGGGGCCCTGGGTCGAAGAGACTCTCCAGTATGGCATTGGAGCCTCGCAACGCCCGTGCTGCGTTTCTTTGGCCTCCCGGGCTTCTGGTGAACATCCCAAGTATCTCTTAGCAGCCAGGGTGCCTTTGTTCCTACTATTCAAATCGGATAAACAGAACCCCAAATCAGGTGATAGAATCTACAGGCAGACTTCTAAGAGGGTTGATGCCTAGGGACACTGAGACGATATCTGAGCCTTACCTGGCACTCTGGTTTGGGACTGAGTGCGCCCTTTCCAGTAGGGGCGAATCAAGGGAGCCCTCATAAACTGCATCAGTTTTGTTCTTCAGATTGAAACAGCACTGACCAGTGTGGGTTGCATATCTATATCTATTTCGATGTCTGTACATGCACATATGTATATATATGTATATATATGTATATAGATATGCACACATGCATGCTGGGATGAAGGAATGGATAGATGGATACATGGACAAGCGGGTGAATGACCGAATGAATGAATGGATGAACGAGCGCACGGACGAACGAACGAATGAATTAGTTGACGAGTGATGGAATGAGTTTGTCAATGCATGAAAGATGAAACGAATGCCATACGGTAGTGAAGCAAAAGGTAAAAAGGAACCAATTAATGCCTGAATGCCTGAACGAACGAAGGAATTACACATCAAATGGACGAATAAATGCACGAATGAACGAACGAATCAATGACTCAACGAATGACTTACTGAACGAAGGAGTGAACTAATGCATGCATCGAGGCATTCATGCATGCATGCATGTATGTAGGCAAATGAGCTTGCACTCATGCCGAAATGTTGCCTAGAGGGTGAAAGCACTGATACACACTGGGTGCCTTCTGAACCCTCTGTGTAAAGCCTACTTAGTAAGTACTCCAAGCAACCTCAAGGGGCTTGGGCGGCTACAAATTTGTGAACTCTCAGGGAGACAACTCCGGAAAGTGATATAGGGGCCTAAATAACTACCTATACTATTTTGGGGGCTCCTTGTTATGAATATAGTATAATATACCCCAACCCCATTCTAATTATTAAGGTCCCTTTCTTTTGCGGCTTTGAAGGTCTGCGACTGGGGACCGAGGACCAGGCCCAGCTGGCTCCGGGCTCTGCGCTCCCATGGGACAGGAGCTTCCAGAGACTCCAATATCCCTTAATTAAGGAATATTCCTTAAATCATACTAGGGATCCTACTATGATTTCAGGTATATCCCTGAACTAAGGGATATTGGAGTCTCTGGGTACTATCGGGGCCTTTGTCATTCGAATAGGGTTTTATAGGGGCCTTAATAATCAGACTAGGGTTCCTTTAAATGATACTAGAAGGGGAAACTGTAATATAGGGGCCTTAATCATGAGAATAGGGTTTTGGGGCCCATTATACTCTAAGTTATAATAAGGAGCCACCAATACCAAAAAGGGTAATTATTAAGGCCACTATAGGAGGGCGTTGGAAACGTGAGTTTGTCGGCCCAGCCGGGTTTGGCTTGAAGGACTGAAACCGGATTCAGGGCCTGAGATGTCGGTACGGGGTGAAAGTGGTGAAGGGGTGGGTTTGAAGCTTCGGCTTGAGCTTCAGGCCTGGGACAGCAAGGTTCAACAAATGACTCAAAACCTATATGCATATCACGTTCAAGAACTGCGACAGACCGTTCAATTCAGACCACTGTCAAAAGGCGCTTTTCGCAAAGCCCACGTCGAGGGACTAAGGGGCCATGACATATCATTGTGCTGAACCAACGGCAACGGGAGCATCACAGCCACGTGAGTCGAGCCGAACGCAAGGTGAATACCTTCAAATTGGCAACCGATCGATTTGGGAAGGTTACGCTGTGCTGTGAAAACGGTTTCAAACGCAACAAGGCGAAGCAAAGCTTCAGAAACACACTACAGAGGAACTTACACTTGCCAGAAAAAGACAAACCGTTTGCTTAAAACCCCTACTTCCCAAACCCTATCAGCCAACCTCTAACTCTGAATCCCAAACCCCGAATCGCAAAAGGACAAAACACGCTTCTTCATGGATCCGTGCCTTCGGCGCTGTTCGGCAAATCCGAAGCACCCCCCCCCCCCCCCCCGAAAATGTCCCACACCGAAATGTGAACCGGACAACCTTCATGCACATCACCCAAGTAACACAGAGTTGGTGGACTGTGAGGGCAAACCCAGCACCAGTATCCACAAAGAAGAACCTCTGCCCCGAACTCGTCTCATAGGTACTTTGAATCCTACCCGCTGCCTCGCTAACCCCAAGCTTTTTCCGCTGCCGGCGTCTGTCGGAAAGGTTCGAAGTGCGAAGTCTCAAACCTCTTCCACAATCCTCGGTAAGTACGCACAACGGTTCTGTCGGGCTGTCAGGGTTTTGGAGGGTTCTTGAAGGGTTTGGGGGATAAGGGTTCAACAATCCTCGGCAGAACGTGCAGGCTTTTGGGTTTACCCTTTGATTTTGCTGTTATAGGCCTTAGGGTTTGGGATTAACGGCTCAATGTTGGCTCCAATTAACGCAACAAAGCTCACAGTAGTCATACTTTGCGCGAGAAAGCCTACGTTCACGAAGGCTTGGAGAGTACTTTCGTTCTCCCAACATGTAGCAATCCATTTTATAGAGCTATAGGATGACGCCATCATATGCTGGCGTGCAGGGATTCAAAGTTGAGGCTTCAGCGCCTGCTGGCCGGCGGTTATTCAAGCGAAAGCGTGTAGGCTGAAGGCCATTACATGTCTTGTCGGCTTCACCTAGTTCCCAAGTCGCCTCTTAGCTGTTTGTTGAAGTTGTAGCCGCAGAGCATCGCGATTCAATGAAGCGAGTAAGTAGAAAAGGGTTTTGTGCTCCTTTATAGTATAAATAATTATCATGAGGAGCCCTAAGCAATAACATTGGTAATTATTCAACGGCCAAAACCCGAACCAAAGCTCACATGCACGTGCCAAGGTACGATGCCGTTGGCTGAGGATCACTCGCCTGGCTCGAGGGGGTGCTTTGGATATCTTCCCTAAACCCTAACCTCTAAACCCCAATGCCTTACACCCTAGACCATTCGGAAAGCAGGAGGTGCGAACATGGATCCAAGTTGGTAGGATCCCACGTTTCAGAGACCCAACCGCAGGGACCTAGTATGAAGCCGGAGACTCCAAAGTCTTTTGCCTATGCAGCATTCGCTAAACTAGTTATACCAGCCCAAGCAGAGACTCATAATTTCGAGTGCAGCTGGTTTCTTCCGAAGCCATGCTAAAACGCTAACACCGGGTCAGAGGTTCCAGCATAGAGGCCCCAAGAACGAAGAAAACAGATCGGCTAAGGCAGCTCAGCTAAGGGCTTTCTGTAACATCTATGTCTAAGGATGTCCTTGAAAAGGACTGTTTGTTGAAGGGAATCACCTCATAATAAGTACCGCGTAACGACCATACTTCAGGTCTAAAACTGCCCTGTAGGGCTATCCAAAAGAAGGGGAAAAGGCAGTCCATAGTATACAGAGGTCTGAACACCCCGTCCGTGGTAGTTAGTGACGACATTAGTGATATTGCTCCCTTATAGCGCAGATTCACAAAAACGATAAAAAGCACACTCCAAACATCAAGACCCTCATGGTATGAGGTCCCAGTCCCTTAAAGGCCCGCAAGCAACTGAGATGCTCAAGGCTCGTAAACAGGTAGCGTCCAGCCAGAGCTTTTGGTTGAAGTCTTGAGCAGCCCTTTTCTACCATGTAGTCTACCCAGAGACTCCAATATCCCTTAATTAAGGAATATACCTTAAATCATATACGGGATCCTACCATAATTTAAGGAACATTCCTTAATTAAGGGATATTGGAGTCTCTGGGTACCGCCCTGGGCTTAGGCTTCAGAGCTGTAGCTCCATCTTAGGGTTTGCGGCTCTCGGAGTGCGGTACTTCTGGGATCCAAGGCTTGGGCTTTGATTTGAAGTTGAGGGTTTCGGGGTCAGAGGGCTTCCTGGAATGACGTTATTAAGAATATTTGGTGAATATTTTGGTACATTAATACCAAAATATTATAATATTTTAGTACATTAATACCAAAATAGTTTAGTACATTAATATACCAAACTATTATTTGATAAAAGTATATAAACCCTAAACCCTAAACCCCTAAACCCCTAAACCCTAAACCCTAAACCCTAAACCCTAAACCCTAAAACTATATAATAATCAAATGAAAGATATAGCTACTGCTCACGGGCTCCCCCGGCGGTCCCAGCTTGAAGATACCGTGCAGGGTGTGTAGGTGGGTTTCAGAGACTAAAGGGATCTATAAGGGGCTCCTTTAAAGGGATCTATAAGGGTTCCGTTAAGGGATCTATAGAGTTTAGGGTACCCAGAGACTCCAATATCCCTTAATTAGGGAATATACCTTAAATTATAGTAGGATCCCTAATATGATTTAAGGAATATTACCGAATTAAGGGGTATTGGAGTCTCTAGGAAGCCTGACATGCGCCCTCAGTGTTCAGAAGGCCCATGCCACTTTGTCTAGAATAGGGTTTTAATTGGGGTATATTATGATTAATCGTACTTTCGTTATAATAAGAAACCCCCCAAATACTGTTGTTCAACTGTACTGTAAACAAAGGTATTCTACTTTAAACCCTAATCTTTGGTTCCGGAGCTATGAAGCCTGGCCGGTGGCCTCTTCCAAGGATGGCTCCAGCCGGCGTGGGCGTGGCAGAAGTGCCGAGTCTGAGCAAAGAGGTTCGAAAGGGCTGGGGCCCTGCCCTGCCTGAACCCCGAGACACGGATTTTCCTAGTGGCTGATGGTGAAACCCACAAAGAGTTTCTTAAGATAGGTATTCATTCGGGGTTCATTGCAGCTCCTATACGGGCCTGAATGACGTGAGTAGGGCTTCCTGCCGTTCTGACCAAAGCTCCGAGGTAACCCGAGACCGCTATCTAAAGCTCTTGCGACCCCGAACAGTGCTTGTCGCCGGCCATCGTTTAAGATTTAGGTTTTAAGGCTAGGGGCTCTCAGCGCTTGGCGCTCAAAGGCTTCTAGGCTTTTCGGGTTCGATTCGAAACACTCATATAATTTCCCATATTCCCCAATCCCCTCAGCTGTACACTCATCAGGTGCCCATAGACTCCACTGAACTCGCAATCCCTGAAATGCCCCTCGCTCAAAGGTTAGAATATCATTTGGAGGGGCTAGTATGTATTTCTTGTATATTCACCACAGTGTTAGAGCTTTTTTAAGCAGAACAAGCTTTAAATAGCCATTGCAAAAGCCATTGCATCCTCGGCCTAATCCGGAAGACCATTGCGAGAATGATCATTAGCATCCACTCATAGTTCTGTGTACACATACTTCACAAAGTCACCTCACGACCTTGTTCTAGGATTCAGCCATGAAGTCCCGCGGAAAAGACCCAAATCTATACCTAGCCATTAACGCGGCCATGCGCCAATCTTCACGGTACAGGGAAGGTCGAGGAGTGCGATGAAACCTCCAAACAATTGCAACCCATGAACAACCCAAAGAAAGGCCATACAGATCTCTTCGAAGAGAGTCCGGTCCTGGAGGCCTTTTGCTTGTGCGCGCAAGCCAGCTGACGCGATGCCCGCTCGGGCGGTCGGATGAAGCACGGCTGTAAGCTACATCGCCTGGCCCCAGCGAGCCTAGACATAGAAAGGCGATGCAAGAAGAGTCCACCTCAAGGGTTGAAGGCCGAGCTTTAGTATATGTAAAGGGCTCTGTAAAGGTGGGCCATGGCACTACATGCTTTGGTAGAAATTGTAGAGTTTGACGTTTTTTTTCAAACCTTAAACCCCAAAATCCTTTGACCCTCAAGGCTGAAACCTGCCCTAAACCCACCCAGAAATACCATGGACTGATAAACCGAAGTTCATTCAGAAGCCCAGAAGCCCTTTTAGGGTTTCGGCATAGTCTTTTTATATGTATCTATACGAACCACAATACCGGGGCCAGACAAACAAACGCAACAAGTGCTTAATACACACGTATGTATGTGTCTTATGTACAAAATCGTGATATTCGTATGCGTGTATATGCATACATATATGTATATACACGCTTCTAAATGTTCATTTGCAAGGAATCGACTCAAACCTGCCTTAATGTGAACCTCTTGCGGCCGTTTGGGTCCTTCAGGCGGGAGTCTCAGAAATTCAGCGGCTTTGTTGAATACGCGGATCCTAATATAGGGGCCCTGATAATTACCTATACTTTTCTTGTTTGGGGGGGTTCTTTATAAGCGTTGCATATGGGCCCCAACACCCTATGCGAAATAATAAGGCCCCTATATTAGGATCCTTGTTGCAAGGAGCCCTCCCTGAATCAGATGCCTAATCCAAATATCGCTGGATCCGAAACGGAAGGACCCGGAAGGACCCCACCCTCATCTCAAGCAACGACACAGTCTGATACGTACGATCAGAACCCTGAAGAAAGGAAATCCATTTTCGAGAAACCCTCGGGTGGACATTGCGGAGCGGTTCGCCCGTGCAACCTGCGTCTCCCAGGTTGAAGACTCGCAGATTCCCAGCAAGGCTGGACCCTCAGTGCTCCTATCAGGACAAATAAAATAGACCTTGAAGGGATTCAGTCGACACGAAGGCCTGAAGGATGGCTTTACGCTTGCCTTATAGAACACATGGAAAGAGCACTGAGGCGGTCGGACAGCTGTGGCAATCAAAAGTGGGAGTCAGCAGCAAGCACTGAACCTCCAACAAACCTACCCCCCAAGGGTCCAAGCATTGCTTTCTTTGAACTCTGACGGCTCTTCCGGAAATGCCACCGAGGGTTCTTGTTGGCCTAAGACTCACAGATCCTGAAACCCAACCCTGCACACACGGACCCCAAACAAAGAAATCCCCAAATCCTAAGGCCTCAACCGCAAACCCTACTGCTGCACTCGCCCTTAAAGGGACTCCCCCTCCTCATCATCACCATCATCTCTTCAAAGAAAGAACGAGCACAAAACTGCCTTCGCATCCTAGGTTACCCAGTAACCTAAGAATAAAAAGGCCTCTCTTTTTGGTATTGGGTAACTTTATAAGGAACCTAGGACCACAAAAAGGGAATAAGGGTACTACCGGGCATCCGAGCATCAGTCTGGCTTGAAAGACCCTTAGGGCTTCTGTAACGCAGCGAATTAGGGCCCATGGACCTTGCAGGAGATGCAGCTCGGGTGGCTGCAATCCCACGGCGAGGCACCGAAGGCTCAATTTTCTCAGGTTGCGGAAATTTTGATCTCTCAGCAGCCAGCGCTGACAGGGTTTCGCACGGTCTATACTGCGTAGGATGCTTTCTCGCGTAGATCTCGCCTCAGCGCAGCATTCCAAGCTCAGGTCCTTCTTCTGCAAGCGTTGAGGGCTTGGGCGTTGGGGCATTGCCGGCCGGAAGCCCCTATCCTCAAATTGAATTTCCAATTCTGAAACCCAAAATCGTAACCTCAAACCGAAAACATCCAAACCCTGTTGACAGCAGCATAGAAATCCAGGAACCAGGAAATCTCTCATTAGACCTTCGTAGGACCCTCATGAATCCTCGGACGCCAGAAAGTGCAGAAACCCTGAAACTGGGTCTTACTACGGTTGATGATATTAATCCTGCATTACAAATAATAAGGAATATACCATAAATCCCATAGTTTAGGGTCCTTAAGGGAATGCAGGATTGATATCATCAACAGTAGTAGGGCTCAGGATTTCCGTTCCAATCGCCACAGCTGCTGAGTTCAAGGCACAGAGAATTTTGAAGACCCCAGGGTGTTGCAATTAGTTCGAAGAGGACCACCGGAAAAGGTACTGTATCCCTTTTCTGAGCCCAAGTACTTCTTTCAAGAAGCGAGGCGGGACCCTAACCTTAGTTGCTAAGTTCATAAGCCCCAAAACGTGTACACTTTCAGTTTTGTAGTGGGCCATATTAACACAAAAAGTGTGAAGTAAACCCTGAACCCTAAAGCGGGCCATGAACCAAACCAAACCCCAGGTACACCCTGAGCCATGGGATTCCCAACTTCCCAGAAAGCCTAACTTACCTCTGAAGGAAGGAGTATATACAGCAATGCCATATTCAGACATGCGAAAAAGAGCTTTTCAGAATGAAGATCAAGATCGGAGGTAGCGGGGTATCTTCCTTAGAATAAAAAGCCTTCCGCATTTTTCAGAGGAAGAGCTGTACTAACTTCTTTGGCTTTCTCCCTGTAGGCGCCGAGCCCCGCAAAAAACAACCAGGAAAACTTCGACTTTTCGATGCTCTCCTGTCTTTGCAGAGCACCTGCTGCCTGGCCTCTGAACCCTTCCCTTCAGGGTTTAGGGTTTAGGGTTTAGGGCTTCCAGTGCCGCAGCCGCTGTGGAGTGGAGTTTTTGCGACCAGTATCCCCATGACACTACTCAGAAGGAACACTTCCCTATATTCCCAAGGAGGAGCGTCGACGCACGCCCCGAGACCCCAACATACACAGTTCAGTACCTTGTTTCAGGTTAGGCTTCCGGTCAAACGCTTAGAACCTAGGGTTTGCCTCTGACTTTCAGGTTTGGCGCTTCGGGATGAGAGCACAGTATAGGTGTGTAAGCGGCATTACAAATTCAACACAAAGGTGGGGGGAATTCTAGACTGACTGACCCTACCATATCCAAATCTTAAAGTCATTGGGTTTGCTAGGGCTTAATACAGGGGCCTCGATGATTTTAGAATAGGGTTTTGGGGTACGCAGTATGCCAGACTTGTACTAAGGAGCCCCATAGAATAGTATTGGTAACTACTTAGGTCAGTATATTAACTAGGTGGGGCTTTTAGAGCCTTCGAAAAACATAAGTAAATAAGATCCTCTTAAGCCCAATAAGGGGAAATATAAAATGTCCCAAAGCCCTACCTAGTTAAGCAACTTTCAGACGCTCTCAGCCCTAGCGTTGCCAATGGCTTCAGAGGTCTTACGGGGTTTATGGGCTCTCCTGTTCATGACAGTTTGGGGCCTCTAGGGACCAGAAGGCTCAGGGTTTAGCACTCCCCATAGAACCCAATACCCCTTAAAGGAATATAGCTTAAATCATAATATGAAGCCCTATATACTTTAAGCCATATTCCTCAATTAAGGGGTATTGGGCTCTCTGAGTCTATAGTGCAACAAGGTTGGTGCTCCGACCCTCTGAACATTTCTCTGTAGAAGTAGGAAGGGACCGGACCCGAATCCCAGATCCCACACGGTAAGATCTTTATTGCAAACCGGCCCCCTTCGACAACGAATCGTAAATATGATTTAATCAGGTACATACTGATCTGAAAAAAGGGTTGAGAGTGCCAGGCAGTCAAATTCCCGGCGGTAGCTTCGAGGCTGGATCAGCACTCAGCCGCGGATTCGGAGGATCTGCTGCCACTTCCTACTCAAATGGCCCAAGCGGTGCAGCGTGGCCTGTCGAGGAGGGTTCAAGCATGATTGGTGTCAGGGTCAGCATCCTGGCTAGGGCTACTGAAATTGCTCGCGTTGCTGCAGGATTCGTAAGTGAAATATAGAATAACGGCTGACGGTCTGGCTGAGGTTAGCTTTCTGGTTTAGATGCCCTTATTGTAAGCGCTCCCCTCAGATTCATGAACTAACAGGGCATGGCTTCGCAAGACTCAGTGTGACACTCTCGAGAGTCTACGCAAAGTTGCACAATGAAGTTGTGGGGTTTCTCAGGCACCCTAAACCCTAAACCCTAAACCCTAAAGTACTGCTTTCTGGGGGCTTCTTGGGTGCCTTAATTGGTCTGGCTCTTTTACATTATAACATAACGCCGTGTACCTTGCTCCCTGAAGCTCCGACATGAAGGCCCCCCGCCCCCCCCCCCCCAGCTTGCCTTTGGTTAGTAGGGAATGGGGGAATAGAAGCAATAGTAGCTACACTTGTACCCCATTCTTCCATTCCCTACTAACCAAAAGTAAGTTATAGGATTATTAAAGCCCCCATATTATAGTACCCTTATAGATCCCTTATAGTAGCCCTTATAGACACCTTTATAAGGCTCCATTCCCTACTAACCAAAGGTAAGCCAGTGATGCACACCTGGAGCTCCAAGTCTTTCGGGAACCCTAGTACAAGCCTTATGGAAACAGCATGACCCTAAGGACTCGAAGCTATGGGAACTATGGTATATTCCCTTTGATGGTATAAATCCTGCATTACCCATTATAAGGAATATACCATAGTTCCCATAGCTTCGAGTCCTTAGGGTCATGCAGGATTTTGTCCATCAACAGTAGTACAAGCCTTCCGAAAACAGGACTCAGGTTGAAAGGACCGAAAGAAAGCATGCTAAGGTGACACAAAACACCCACACCCCAAATAGGCATGTGATCATCCAAAGCCAGCGCGCGAGACTCGTGCACTTCCATAATACCCGGCATTGAATAATTCAAACAAGGATTTCAAGTATTGTACTATGCCAAGAAGAGGGAACCCTCGGGAACACCAATTCTGGCTATCCGGACGCCTGTACTATCCCCGTATCTAGGGCTTGCCCGGATGTATTGTTTAGGGGCCAAACTCAAGTTTGATGAAGATTTGTAGGATTTGATATGCGTGCGGTATACCTGCACCGTTTCTGAGGTTTCAGGATTTTGTGCGGGTGCTAGAAGGGTTCACAGATTGCAATATGCAACTGCTCCTGAAGCAGGATTCCTGTTCCTCTCGGTTGTCCTACGTCTTGCTCACTAAACCCTAAACCGTGAACCGTGGTTTATAGGGTTGAGGGATCTCGGCAGATTCATCAAGAAGGAACTCTAGTCCCCGCAACAGAATCCTGCTGGCCCGGCCTTTGCGCCTACTCCGCAGGGCCCAGAAAGCGGAGGCAGGTGTAGTCGGAGGCCTGCTCTCATCGGATCGGGTTTGCAGTCTTTGGGGCTGTGGGGTGCTGGGGATTGAGGATTTGTAGGGGTTTAGGGTGTAGGCTAAAATGGGGCCTCGAACGTGGTAGGATGGTTTCGGGCCAAGGGTACAGGAGTAGTGCTAAGTCCAAGACTTCCGGATTTGGCAAGTACTTGTTAAGGCTTGGCGGAAGATTGATAAGCCTTCAGGTGGCTCCAACTGGGCACAACTTGGGATGTCGAAACTATGAATATGCAATCTGCTCAACGTAGACATCCACAACCTACACATTGAAGCCCTGGCATTCTCACCGGGGCCTTGAGCATGAACAAATGGACGTATATTTTGCTATGATTACATTAAGAGGCCCTCACGAGCAGCATTCTAGCTGTTCAGACCGAGGTGTACTGAGTATTAGACCCTCTCCAGTTGCAGTTGTAGGGGCAAGACTGAACAAGTTGCTGGTGACATGGACGACTCGAAAACCCAGTGATTTTTCGATGGTATCTCCAGTTACAGTAGAACTATCTCGGGACGGTAGGGAGTATTGCTGCTAAGTACGACATCCCCTACACTAAAGTTGAGGTGCTTCCTTGCAGTGCTTCGGTTTAAGGTTTAGGGTGTCGGCTCAAGTCGGGTTTTGGGCATCATGTAAGATTTACCTCTCCGTAGATGCTTCAAAACCCGGGACGTGTTCAAACCAAGCCTTTCTTTCCCTTGAACTCCTATACGCATGCATGTGTTTACTTTGTTCTCGCATGCATTTGTTTACTTCCCTCACATACACATACACACGCTACATCTATGTACATGCGTAGCACACATATTGATATTCTGTATCTGTACATAATGCATATGTCTACATCAAAGTTTCGCTTGATGTTAAACAGGGCTGGAGCTTCGCCGCGGGTTTCTGCAAGACATGGGCTTCTTCATGCACAGCGGGGTGGGAAAAGTTATCATTTAAAACAGCGTGCCTTGGCTTGGTCTGTAGATACAGGTAGGTAGGTGTGTGTGTGTGTGTGTGTCTATCTGTCTGTTTGTCTGTCTGTCTGTCTCTCTCTCTCTCTCTCGTCTAGAGACAGAGAAAGAGATGTATATGAATATGTTAATGTGTATGTATATGTGCATGTACATGATCAAGTATACTACTGCATTATGCCATATGATTGTATATGAAGCTATCTGATATGATAGGCTAAATGATAGTATAATGAAACGTCATGTTTTGAGATTATGTTGTATGATGTTACACGAGATTCTCCGATATTCTGAAATATTTGATTTTCCATGATACTCTATTATATCAAAACGGTTTTTATGCTGCTGTATCATATTATCGTATAGTACTTTAGACTTATGTGGTCGCATTCTGCTATAATACAGTATGGTATGTGTAGTACTGTACTCTGTTGTACAGTATCCTTTTAGTTACATTGTATCATTATTATTGCCTTAGATTTGGATTGATTAGATTCCTGCTGTCATTCTAGTATTATGTTTGCAACATATCTTCTTTTAATGTCTCATGCTATCATAACACATTATGGAAACTTCTACCGTATCATATTACATTGTAACTGACTGTTTCGTTGATTTCTTAGGACATACTGCATCCTAAACACTCAATGCCGGCGCCTCTCTTGAGGCCTGGATGCCATCGGGGCGGGTCCAAAGCTCACATCGCCCCGCCACGTGGTACTCGATGCCCTGGCCTTCCGTCGAAGCGTACAGGGCTTGAATTTGGGTTTAGGGGTTTCTGCAGGCAGCCAGACAAGAGGCTTAGGGATTAGGGCTGAGGGTTCAAGCCGTTCCGGGTTTAGGTTGAGGTTTGCCATCTTCAGGCAAGCTGCAGTCCGCCGCACGCGCGCACAGGGCCTTGCATCCCTCCAGGGAACTTGCCTGGTCAAGCTTTTCAGGAGTTCCTTGAAAGAGGTTGTCAGGGAGTCTAAGGAGATTCGCATGGAATCTGGTCCAGAGTCCCAGGGCTGTTGGGCCTTCCGGTCCAGAGACCATTAACCCCAAAACCGAGGGTTTAAATGGGTTCAAAGCCTTAGGGCCTTAGGGGTTTTGGGCTGAGATATGGTTGTAGGGTTGCCTACTTCCACTTCCCTTCGGAATGTTCGCAGCTTGCCTACGTGGGAAACCTGAAGTACAAGGATTCTGAACCGGTGGCTTTCGAGTATCTCGGGACCATCAGCCCATGCTCGCAATCGCAGATCCGGCGAATGGGGCCTTCCAAGTAGACTCCAAGCCTTTATCGCACATTTCAACTCCCTTAAACTCAACAGTCCCATACAGTGAAACGAGAAACCTCATAGAAACGTTCTACAGACTCTTCCAGATCCGGCACAACTCCATGCAACGGGAAACTTGACAAGTGGGTTATCAATCGAAAATCTCAAGCTCTTCAACCCTTGAACCCTGGACCCCGAACCCTCAACCTCTCAAACTCCACCTGCGCCACCGTGAAGTAGCTGGCGGCGTTGTCATTCGGGTGTGCGCCACGGCAGACGCGGCCGCTGCCGCCGTCCACACCCTCGAAGATGCCAAGAGAAACAGTGCCTCGGCTCAGAAGTCCTAGGGTACCCTTGCATTAGGGTGCGTGTGCAAATCTACCAAAAATCCATACCATGCTGTTGCTAGGGGGTGCTGCTATTTCTCCGGGTTGGATTGAAACACAGAGAACTATCAGTTGTTGTTGAAGAAGGTAGGACGGGGTAGGATTTATAGTGCCTCGAAACGACTGCGTTGACAATGACATTAGACCCTGAATTCCCGCTGTAATCCCCCCGACTGATAGCAGATTCGATGGAAGCCTTCTTGTCCTGAAGTTGTGCTGAACAGTGCTGCATAGTGCTAAATACTACTGAATGCCAGATAAGTAGTCCACACAAATGCTGAATAGTGTGAATGAGTATACTGAGAAGCAAACTCAAATGAAAGGATACCAACACCCTGCCAGACAAAATGCTTTCAAACCCAGTTAGTGTCCCATCTACCAGCAAAAGACACTACACCAGCTTCCATGACATTCAACCTAACTAAACTTCCCCGAACCACAACCATGTCCTACCAGAGAAGCTGTTGCAGGAGAGGTTCTATCAGAGTTACTACGGATCTTGATGCTAAGATGTTTCGGTAAGCAGGGTGCATTAATCAGGGATCTACACAACCCGGATTCCCAGTGTTATCGAGGCGCTATGTCCAATTCTTTTTCAAATCTCATCGAAACCTGTTGAAACCGTGAACATCCACACGTCAGTCCTCGTTGTGGCACCAGCGGCCCGGAAGGAAGCACCAACGACAGCACTCGACACCCAAAACGCCCCAATCTCCCCGCCCAAGCGCCGTAGCTGAGGCAGGTATACTTCTCGAGCACGATTGATGCATGGATACCTGCAGCTGAGCAAGGGACTTTGGGTGTGTATATGGGTGGTTGTCAAAATTGTGGTCCCTTTTCGGGTCCTTGTTACAATACGGCACCTAATATTCAGGGTACCCAAAAAGGGACCATAATTTTGAAAACTACCCATAAGGTGCTCGATCTTCGGGTTGCGGGGCGGTAGGGCTTTCAGGCCGAGGGGCTTTGGGGCCAAGCTGCAGAAAATATACCAAAGCTTGCGGAATTTCAAGAAATTCAAGCCCAGGGACCTTGGTGGAACCCAAAAACTCGACTAATCCTGCCAAGAAGCTTCACAAAGCCGCAACAAAAAAAACACCGTAAACCCTTGCTTCGAATAGAAGCCCAACGCCCATATGCGAGTTTCCCAAAATAGGGGACCCTGATATGGTACCCTAAATAGTAGGATCCTTATGATAAACAGTAGGATCCTTATGATAAATAGTAGGATCCTTATGATAAAGAGTAGGATCCTTATGATAAAGAGTAGGATCCTTATGATAAATAGTAGGATCCTTATGATAAGGACCCTAAAAAATGGTACCCCCAATTTTCGGAAACTCCCAAAAGAACGGCCTTATAGTAAAGGAACCCTAAATAGTAGGATCCTTATGATAAGGACCCTAAAAAATGGTACCCCCAATTTTCGGAAACTCCCAAAAGAACGGCCTTATAGTAAAGGAACCCTAAATAGTAGGATCCTTATGATAAGGACCCTAAAAAATGGTACCCCCAATTTTCGGAAACTCCCAAAAGAACGGCCTTATAGTAAAGGAACCCTAAATAGTAGGATCCTTATGATAAGGACCCTAAAAAATGGTACCCCCAATTTTCGGAAACTCCCAAAAGAACGGCCTTATAGTAAAGGAACCCTAAATAGTAGGATCCTTATGATAAGGACCCCAAAATAAGGTACCCCCCAATTTTCAGAAACCCCCATATCCGCAGGGATGCCTTCTGGTCGGGTCCAAACCTCACAGCGGCCGCCCACCTCACGTCTCATACTAGGGGGGACGTATACACCTTTAAGGGATCTATAAGGACTCCTTTAAGGGGTCTATAATGGCTCCTTTAAAGGATCTATAATGGCTCCTTAAAACGTCTCATACTACGGGGACGAAACTAGGGGTACTAATTTGGGGTCCTTGTATTAAGGATCCTATTATTTAGGGTACTATATTAAGGGGGGACTTGTACAGTACTCCTCGGGCTCTACACCCTAAAAACCCTTGGGATCGATAATGGCTCCTTTAAGGAATCTATAAGGTACCATAAGGGTGTAGGGTTTAGGGTTTAGGGTAGGATTAGAGTAGAAGCTCAAAAGTTGGAAACCCTGTAGCCTCAATCCTTAAGGGTAATGTATAGGGAATCCTAGCACTATTTGTCCTTAATCCGGTTTCCAACTTTTTGGGGTTTACTGTAATGAATGACAAAGACCATGATTCTTGTCTATGCCCAGACAGTAGATGATAAGGGTTCATCAGGATGGTCCTAGCCAAACCCGTTCTGCCTCACCCAGTGGATGGTAGAAGCTCCTTTTAAAATTTGAATAGGGCTTTGGGGCAAACCCAGATAAAGGGGAAATCGTAGTGCCAGCTTGGGCTTCTATGTATATATTAGGTCCAACCAGTGCTTCCCTCTAGCTTCTTGAAGGGTTTTTAGTTTATACACTGCCTGTATAGTTGCAGCAAAGCGTGGGTACAATGCATCGAATGTTTCGGGTGACCTCTTCAAGCAAACACGAAAGCCATTGTTAAGCCTGTTGAGCTTAGAGATTTGCCCCTCTTGGTGCCGCCAGGCCACGTGGTACTCAATCCCCGTGCAGCCTTCTGTCGCCACGCACTGCTCCTGGCACGCCTGGCGAAAGTTGAACCCCACACGCAAAAAGCATCACCTGCAGAAGCCCTCTGAGATATTATCCCAAGAACCTTAACACTCCCCTTTGGAGCCTTATCCCACTGGAGCCCTAATTAAACTATATCACATGTTGGATACAGCGTGGATTATAGACCCTAAGCAAGCCCAAGTAGACAGCCGCCATGCCGGGCCGACATTAACCCAGGTACAAGGCTTATGGAAGGCCGTGTTATTTCGTCTACATTTTTGCCGAAGACTGTGCGATACCAAGCGCAAGGCCTATGTGACGAACGTCCAGTGTGGGGTCTCCGAAAGAAGTTTCTGTTGACAGTTACAAGTTACAGTTACAATTAGGGCATGCGCGGCATCAGGCTAAGGTTCTAAGTCTATGGTCTGAAGTATCCTGAATAGTAGTACTGGTATCCCTGCGCAATCCCTCTATACAGATATTAGAAGATCCAAACACCTCTTATTTTAATTGCTCAAGCTGCTGGGTTGGATGCGGGATACTCTTGGAAGTTTCGTTGACTCCAACGGATCAGTACACCACGTGGTAGATGCAACCTCTGCTTGGAGGCTCTTGTGACATCGTTGCTCTAAGTAGCCCTCACACCCCCATGATAAATCCAATGGCCCATGATTCAAACTTTTGACCCTCTTTGCTGTGCCGGCCTGGAGGGAAGCCAGGTTGCTAACAACCTGCTCAGCACAGTGTGCGCAACACATGGGGCATCAGCTTTGCGTAAGCATGGCATTTGGGCAACAGTTGTATTGGGATACAAAGAGTGGTGATGTGATTCGCGAGAGCTTATGTTCTTAAGTCTCTGGAGGGCTCTGGAAGTATGCAGGGCTTATTGGATTCATTGCAAAGGTTGTTGAGCACACTGTCCTGCGAAATGCCAACATCCTCAACGCGTCGACATGCTCACAGATGAAACGCAGACTGGCTAAGCCTTATTCGACTGGCTTTTCCGGAGAGCATACTTGGCTGCATTAGGGAACCCCTCGGAATAAGCTCACTAATCATTCAGCTCGCTACGTTTCTGATATCTCTGGCCACCCAAACCCACGACCGCTCTGAACTCGAGAGCCTAAGTCCAGGGAGATGGTCCTCGGACCTGAGAAAGAACGCAGAGATACCTACTTGTCGGGTACCATGAGGATCTAAAGGTTAACCTTCTTGGGTTATATAGGGATTATATAGGGACTATACTACCCAAAAAAGGTTAAATAAAGGTTGCCTTCTCTACTATACTAGGAATATTAAGTCAACCTCTAATGACAGCTAGATGAAACCCACGCTGACCTTCGAGGCTAAGCTCTTGTAGAGGCCCAATTACGACGATGTGTTCCAACATTTCGGTGCTGCACTATCCCTTAAATTTCAACTAAGCCCACATCAATCAACCAGCCTGGTAGTAACTTGCAGCGTTATCGCCGGGGGAGTCGCCACGGCATGCACGGTCAACTCCTTTGCACATGCTTTGGCAGAAGCTGATGGGCCCTAGTCCTAAAACCAAACCCTTATATCAACTCAGGAGGGGTAGGGCTCAGAAGCCTTCATGTAGGCGCGTGTTTGAATAGGATTTTGGGGGCGTATTCTGCTATAGGTTTTAAAGTAAGGAACCCTGGAGAATAGTGTCATAAAGCGTTCGGAGTCCGCATGTTGGGATTGAGGGTTTAGGGTCAAAGTTCCTACACCCTCGAACCACGAAGCTGAGGCAATACGTTGCAACACTATCTGGGGAAGCATGTGGCTTCCGCCGTTTGCCATGCATCAGGCCCCTAGGCTTGGTTTTGCAGTGTTCCTACTCTTGTTACTTCTAGCGGCAAAATGCGAGATGCTTCATCGAGACAGGTATGTAGGCATGGACAGGAAATTCTGTCAGATTGGTTGTTTAGATTAAACACAAAATACCACAGCTGAGCTGGTATGTATATACGAGCCCTGAGCAGACATGAAACCATGCAGAACCCCTGATGAAACCTGTCTGCAAGTTGAGGGGAACGTGGACCTTCGGGCTCACGATCTTCACTGTGACACAGGTGGATATGCGACTCCTGTAAAGGCCGATCGTATCCCACTGAAGGTCGTGCGCAAAGCATCAACGCGAAGGCCATGGCACCTATAAGACTTTTCAGGAACTTGCTTTATTGACCCTAAACCCTGCGCGACAAAAACCCGAGTTACACACCAACCAGAGGAAACCACTAAGCCACGGTCTGTCACCATTAGCCCTAAACCGTTAGCCCTAAACCCTAAGCCCCAAACCATTAGCCCTAAACCGTTAGCCCTAAACTGACCTCCATCGACCGGGTTGAAGCCCGACAGCGGCGGTGCCGTCGTCGTGGTGGGAAGGTCGCCTAGGCTTCGGCACTTTAGACTTTAGGACTTGAGGAAATATCTAATGTCGACTACAATGGTTGAGAGGGTTTTCTAGGGTGGTTAAAGGATTTGTATCAGGTCTAGACATGGGGGCCTGTATGATTACAACAGGGCCTTGAGTTACATCATGGTGTGGTACTACAACCATACACGGACTTGAACCATAGATGCTCTTGCAAAATAGTATCCACGCCCCAGCAGGGTATAGAAGGAATAACCATTGAGTTATTCGCTGTAAAGTACCCTCTCGGTTTGACGGATACTCCAGGGCACAAAACTGGGTGCACCCAAAAACTCTGACATCCCTCGATACAAGTAGGCAAAAGGAATTTTGGAGTCACGTCTGTGGTTGATGCCAAGATATGTTAAGGAATGTCAAGGATATAACATAGGAACCTGAATAATAATCACTTATACTGTTTTGGGGGTTCCTTATCATACATATAGTGTAGCGGGCCCCAAAACTCTACTCTAACTACCAAGGCCCCTAAAATCGTGCTCGCGGGCTCGTGTAAAGCTTTTGTATTGTACATTTATTAGGGTCCCTTTTTGGGTACCCTAAATATTAGGAAAAAGGGACCCCAATTTTGACAACCACCCATTTGTGTTTTGCTTTTTGTTATCGGATTTTGCACCTTGAAAATGGGGCCGCAATAATGAGAAAGAGGCTTTGGGAGATACTTATACGAATCACGCAGCATGGGACGATAGGGAGATGTTGCTACTAGTCCTTTAGGCTTCTAGAGACACGAACAAAGTCGAAGATCCCACGGAACTGAAGCCCGATGAGGGAGTCCTGAATAGGGGTTTTGGGTCCTCAGAACAAGGATCCTACTATTGCAGGTCTACGTTATGGTCCTTTATGTACAACCCCCCTGAATCACGCCGGTAAACAACGCAATAGCAATGGATGGTGGAGGGGCCTAGGCTCTTGGGGGTATATCCTGGTATAGAGCCCGACCTTAACCCTGAAGAACCTACCTTTTTAGGGTTCCCAATTTTGGTTTCCTTATATAAGTCCTTAAAAAGGTAGGTTATCCGGCTTAAGGTAAGGAATCATGGCAGCAACTCCTCCTCTGCCCCTTTCTCAACTCACAAGGGCCGGATCACCGAAGCGTAAGCAGGTGTAGTGCTCCAGGGCGATGGACGCTCGGATTCCGTCCTCCCGGGTCCACACCTCGCAGCGCCCGCCGACCTGAGGGATTCGGGAGGTATTATAGGGGCATTAATAATTAGAATAGGGTTTTGGGGCCCCTTCATACTATAGTCATAATAGGAACCTCCCCAAAATAGTACTAGTAATTATTGAGGCCCCTATATTATATTGTTCAGGGTGGATTTACTCTAAGGTTGTTGCAGGGTTTCTGGCCCCTCAGATGATGGTTTTGGTCAAGCTCCTTCAAGGCCGTTGACAAGAATTAACGGCTTTGGGGGGTTAGTTTAGGGGTGGGACTTAGGGGTTTAGGACATTGTGGACTTCGGAGAGACAGTAATCCGAATGCAAAAAGCGGAAGTCGAAGCAGGACTTGGCGGCTTCGAAACCTCAACGCCCTGAGCCTCTGAAAGATCTTCGACCTTGATCGACTCATGGCCCTATCAACAAGAAAAACCGTAGCTGCAGACCCCACACCTCACAAAAGTATATGAACATATGATACGGGAAACGGCACACTGGCAGCCAAGCCACATTGTACTCGATGCCCGTGCAGCCCGTGGTGGTCACGCAGAGCTGCTTGCAGGACTCGAGGTCTGGCATGCCACTCATGACCTCGTAGTAGCCTGAGCGGATTAGGGCTTACCTGAACCCCAAGTAACCTATCCTTTTAAGGACTTATATAAAGAAATCATATTAGGGAACCCTAAAAAGGTAGGTTCCTGAGGGTCCAGGTAGGGAAGGTTAAGGGTTTACTAAGGGTTTCAAGTTTAGGTAGCCTGAAGCTACGGCATTTCAACCGTCCCAAAGTTCGACGGGCCGCCCTACACCCTGCAGCTTCAATCCTTCACCCTAAACCCTACATCCGACACTCTAAACCCAAGAGACCCCGTGCAGATCAGTTCAACTTGCTTTAGGGCTTCAGGGATCTAGGGTTTCGGGTCTTCAGGATCTGGAACTCACATGGGGGACTGCAGGTGAATGTTGTCACTAAGTCTTATAGAACTGTGCTTGTTATTTGGATTATCAGGAGACACTACAACATTTCCATAGACGACGAGGAGCTCGCGGCGTTGTCCCCAGGCGAGCTGCCGCGACAGGCGCGGCCAACGCCTGAGCTCGCAATTTAATAGGTTTGGGGGGTCAAAGAGGGCTTCAGGGTTCAGGGATTAAAGGGTTTAGGGGCTTAGGGTTTGGGCTTTCAGGTCCCGCACCAGCTTTGCCGTATAGTTGCCTTTGTGGCTTAGGGCACAGGGTTACCAGACTTCGGGTTCCAAGTGCAAGATAAAGCTTGGAGCTTTGCGACAAAGAACTTGAATCTTAGGAAGTCCCGATTCTTACGAGTCGCTCTTTTTGCGGTTTAAGGCTTTTGCACCAGTTTCGGGCTGGGCCTTCGTATGTAAAAACAGGGTTGTGGTTAAAGGCTTTGTGGTTGAAGGTGTTAGGTCTAAGAATCGGATGTTTTTGGGACTTGGCTTCGGCTCTTTCGCCTCGAGTTTCCGGACAGGCATCAGATTTCAAACCTCGGAGCCAAAGCCCTGGAAGGCTTCATAGGGCTGAATGCTCGTAGGGTTACGGTCCTATAGGTGTCAGGCTTTGCCAAACCACACGCAACATCTTTCTTGGGAACTTGCACTGAACAACGCAGACTTGAGCTCAGAGATTTCTGGGTCCACCAGGCTACATAACGAACCCAGAGCTGGCTCATTCTTTAGCAGCACCATGAAATTTTTCAGGGGTATAAGTGTCTGGAGAAAGCTCTGCATTACCCAAAGCCCTAAGTCCCAAATTGCGAGGATGCAAGATAAAGCCGGAGCAGAAACCGCAACGTCATGTCCTGTGAAGAATTTGAGGCGAAGCAAGGGTGAAAGTCACTGCATGCTTAATACCGACATGAAAAGTGACCTCGGGTACTTGGACATGCTTGAGAACCAAAGCCCCCTGCCATTGAATCTTGAATCCCCAAAACACCAGAAGGACAGCATGCAACTCTGTAACAATCCTACGGAACAATGTCAACAAAATGGAATACTCATCTCCCCAAACTCGCTCAGCCTCAGTTGTTCTGGTTGTGAACTTAGTAATCTGGCGGCGACAGCAAGATTGAAATGGTCATTCAGCAACACCCCAATCGGTCCCAACCCTCAAACTGTCGAAGCACATTTTCTCAGATCCTAAACCCTTTTGAAATCCGAAATCCTAACCTGCCCCCACCTTCGCCTCCCCTCCCCGAGCCAGCCGACCCGCCTCCATCGACCGGCGTGAAAGTCTTTACCTCGCCCTGCGTCGTTGTAGTTGAGGTGGTGGTTGTGGTGGACGGGGTGGTGGTGGTTGAGCTGCTGGTGGTGGTGGTCGTGGTCGTTGCTGACGTTGTCGTCGTCGTTGTGGTTGTGGTGGTGGTGGTGGTGGTGGTCGTGGTCGTTGTGGCGGCAGTGGTGGTTGTCGCCATAGTCCTTGGTAGCTCCAGAAGTACAAGCTACAACAGTCCAGTAAGACTGCGAGAAAAACCATGAAACCACACATGTCAAAGCCGAACCCACACAATACTCATCATACAATCAGCATCGCACGCCTGGTTCGTTTGGACGCCGACCTTTCAGGTTTCCGGCAGTAAGCAAAGATTTCAACACGAGTTCCCTCCACGTGAAAGTTCCCCCGAAGGACTCGTCCGCGTTTGAAGGGCATGTGTTTCTAAAGCTTCAGGTTGCGCCGACATAATTAGGTACCCTTATGTGTAATGGTTTTGAAATACCATGACACGATAGTTGGTTCGAAAGGGGAAACTTGAAACGTGCACTCATGAGCGACCTGGCTAACAAGAGCCCAGCCCAGCAGAAATACCCGGAGCATCGTTGGTTAGCTCATGGTTCGGTTCCGAGTTCCGCGCGCCAGGGGTCAAACAGTTCAGAGCGCACGACGGGGTCAGAATGGTTAGTACAGGTTCCCGCGCGATTCCTACATAGGTTCACCATAATACTTCCCCAAACCGCATTCGAAGTGTTCAGGCCCCCACTTTAAGGTGGAGGTTTCGATGCAGCTGCGACTCGTGGTCCCGAGGATGCTGCAACTCCATGGTGTTCGGAACTGGGGCGCGTCATTCTCGCTGATTCCTGCTGCATTCCGACAGGGCCCCGGCACAATCAGACATCGTACTTCTTGGGGTTCCTTAACATGAGCTTGTCTCATGTATCCAAGAACCTAACCCCTAAACTCGAACAGCTCTAACCACTAAACCCTAAGCCCCGAAAGCCCTGTACTATAGGGGCTTGAAGAACTTGTAAGATTATCTCCTTCTAGGTACCATATAGCCAGTAAGATGTATGACTCTCGAACAGAGGCAACCGAAGCTGGACTCTGCAAGTCGCCAAAGCCGAAACAGCTTCTGCGAAGTCCGTGGCTGGTTGCTGCATGGGTTTGCTGCTGCTACGGGCGGGCGCCACAAAGTGCTTGGAAGCAGAGAAAGCAACTTGGGTGAACGAGACCGCTTTCGTGGCTCATGCTGTTGTGCAAAAGGCTTACTAGGCTCAATGTGCCAAGCCCGTGGCTGGTGGAGGGACCTCGGGCTTTGAAAACAGGCAGCCTGCCCCGGTTGAACATACCGATTTGGTGTCTCAAGCTGTGCTTCGGGCGTACGTGGCTCGAAGTGCATCACCATCGCCGGCATTGTCAACAGAAGTGCTGCTTGCAGGTCTGGTCGACGGTTTCGAAAATAGGGTGACCTTGAGGCCACTTTGGGCTCAGTCGGACTTAACTCATTTTCGGGCTGAGTGTCCTATGCCACCTGATTTCTGTTGCACCGACTGGGGTTGGGGCCTCTGTCTGCGGCGCTGCAAGATCTTGTCGCCACTGCGGAGGTAATCTGAACTCACGACATTGATGGAGAAAGAAGTGATGTGCACTTGGCCAAGAATCCACTCTCTGCCGTAGCATGGATGTCAGTGCCACAGCAGTTGATAAGCAGGTAGTGTTCCAAGAGCTCGGCGTGCACTCCCCTACGCTTTCTCAGCTCATCCGCACGTCACACTGTTCGAACACAGCCGCCTGTGTCTGCGACAGAAGGAATGAACACAGCAACCGCTCTGCATCGTCATGTTCGATGCCGCCCCGGCGGCCCATGCGCGACAGTGGCGGGCTAGTCGATTTCAAGGTTCCGCTGCAAAACCCCTGCTCAAACTTAGACCTCGCCAAATCCGGTCCCATACAACTGGGTTGGCCTTTAAACACCATGAAAAAGATTTACATATAGGGTCCCTTATAAATCAAATCCAACCTAGACAATATCAACTGGGCTGGCAGACGACGCTTTTGTTTATGCTGGCTGCGCTTCCTAGGTCCTTCGAGAAGTTTGTTTGGATACTTGGGTAGTTCTCTAAACTTGGGTGCCCACGAAATCGTACGGCACCCTTTATAATGAAAGGACTCGAAAAGGGACCTAATCTAGAGAACTAGCCACGTCAGACCTGTGAAGGGTTTGGGCAGTTCGCTGAACTTGACCCTGAACCCTACAACCGTCGAAGCATCCTATTGACCCCATGTAAATCCTTTGAGTCCTGAATCCAACACCCGAAAGACAAAGCCTGAACACCCCCAAATATGGAGGCCCTGAGAGAATGGTTATATAGGGGATTATTTGGCGAAATATCTATATGGGCTTGAATTCACTAGCTATTCCAACCTTAAACAGTTTAAACCGTCAAAGCGTTGAACCCAAACCCTTAACATCTCCAAAAACCTAAACCCGTCTAAGCCTGGCCTGGAGTGCAGCTTGGCTTGCACTGGGCATACCATTGGTCCTTGCTGCAGGGGTCTTCGACTTGTCAGTCTCGGGCCCCGCCCAGGCCGGTGAGAGACTATTTGGGTGGTTGTCAAAACTGTGGCCCCTTTTTGGGTACCCTAAATATTAGGTGCCGTATTATACTAAGGACCCAAAACGGACCCTAATTTTGACAACCACCCATTTAGATGTAATCAGGGTTTAGGGTTTGCAGTAGGAGTCAAAAGGGACCTGAAGAAGCAGAGTATGCGGATGCATATGGTTTTAGAAAGGTTCCATCGAACTGGAGGCCGTCAGAGCCAAGGGCAGGATGCACAAGTTCTTGTGCTTGAGCAGGCATGCCATCGCGGAGGTAGGAATGGCAACTGCAGCATCAATGAACTCCCTGTCCGGCGTCTCGTACGCTGCAGGGATGTTTGTTAAAAGCACACGTGGCAGCTGCATAGACTGTGCACGATAAGGAAATCATATTCAGAACATTTCCTTAGCAAAGGCAGGGCAGCTAAGCAAGGAATGCATGAACGCTGAGCCCTTAACCTCAACCAGTGGCTATCCGGAAGATACCCTGCAACAGATGAGGCTTCCAACCAATCAACAACCCCTGATAAACTCAAGCTCAACCCAAGGATCCTGAATAGATGATCAAATTCAAGAACACTACACATCGCCCGGATAGCTGCTCGACGCCCCCCCTACCCGAAATTTCGAGCATCATGGCTTCGGGGTTTAGGGCACGGATTTGGGGATGGAGCAGTATGATCCTGATGCACTTAAGGGCAAATATTAACCCTGAGTATACCTGAAAGGCTTCACTGTAGAACACTTTATGGGAACACTC